GTTCGTTTGTGGTATTAGCAGAACTCAAAAACCACTAGGCGATTTGACACCAAATTTGGACACAAGATACCTAACAACCCAATGTATGTCCTTCACTTAAAAAAATGATTTTGTCATTTGGGAGTTGTAGTTGCTGGGATTTATAGTTCACCTACAATCAAAGAGCATTCTGAACCCCACCAACGATGGAATTGAACCAAACTTGGCACACAGTTCTCCCATGACCAACAGAAAGTACTGGAAAGGTTTGGTGGGCAGTGTCCTTTGGTTTTGGAGTTGTAGTTCACCTACATCCAGAGATCACTGTGGACTCAAACAATGATGGATCTGGAACCAAACTCTACACGAATACTCAATATGCCCAAATGTGAACACTGGTGGAGTTTGGGGAAAATAGAATCTTGACATTTGGGAGTTGTAGTTGCTGGGATTTATAGTTCACCTACAAACACAGAGCATTCTGAACCCCACCAACGATAGAATTGGGCCAAACCTCCCACACAGAACCCCCATGTGGGCTACAGCAACATGTGGCAGGGGACAGCTAGTATATAAATAAAAATGTAATGTTCATTTGTGAGATTAACATAACTCAAAAAACCACTGGACGAAAAGACACCAAATTTGGATACAAGACACCTCTCAGGCCAACGAGTGGCCATCACTCAAAAAAACACTGAAAAACATAGCAGAAGAGACTTTAAAAGCCAAAAAATAAAAAATACATTACAACGCATGCACAAAACCACATATATACACACACAAAACACATGTACACAGACTGGGCCACAGCAACGTGTGGCAGGGGACAGCTAGTGAACTTATAACGGCGCTCCATGCAGTCATGCTGGCCACATAACCTTGGAGGTGTCTACGGACAATGCTGGCTCTTCGGCTTAGAAATGGAGACGAGCACCACACCCCCAAGTCGGACACGACTGGACTTCATGTCAGGGGACAACCTTTGCCTTTACCTATGAACTTTTTAGGTATGAGGGACCTCCTTTTCCCTCCTGCATGAACTCCTTGTATCCATTGCGCCTTTTCCCAGTCCTAGGGGAACCCCAAAGCCTCTAGCCTGCAGGGAAGTGGGGAACTCCTAATATCCCTTGCTTTGTCCCCCATAGGAAACACAGGGGAGGCTGAAGCCCCATGGATGAAACTTATGTATGTCTCCCAACACCATGGGGATGCTGAATCTCCTTTCTCCCCCATTGTGAGTCCTCTATGTGTCTTCTATCAATTATATATATTATATCATGCCGGCCACATGACCTTGGAGGTGTCTATGGACAACGCTGGTTCTTCAGCTTAGAAATGGAGATGAGCACCATACCCCAGAGTCAGACATGACTGGACTTAATGTCAGGCTACCACCTTTACCTATATATATATATATATATATATATATATATATATATATAATATTTTATGATATCTGGCCCTCACATAAAGTGGAGCATTGTGACCCTGCTGTGGACCTGAGCTAGCATACCTTCTCAACCTGGGGTCACCAGCCCACCTCAGGCCCATATCCTGACTCAATTGACTTATCGTGATCCTCATCCATCACACTGAGCCGTGTCAATTCAAATGGTGACAAATTGCATTATTTATAGGTTGGATCTAGCCTGACCTTTATTCCAGGATCTGATTCCTGGTTATGTGATTTGACCTGGATTATATGAGTCTACACTGTCATATAATCTGGAATAAGAAGATAATGTGGGGTCAGCTCCTGGGATATAGGGCAGCATAGAAGAGGCCGTAAGAGAAAGAAAGTGAACTGTGGTTGCACTCAAGACATCTCTTTGGGTGTAACCTCAGTTCACATCCTTTCTCCTGGCTTCCCCAGTGGCGGGTGATGGAGGAGTCATGCTCAGGGGTATAGGAACACTGTGGCCCCTTCTGCACTTCCATATAATCCAGACTCTCTAAGCAGATAGTTCACATCATCTGATTTGAACTGGATTATATGAGTCTACACTGCCATATAATCAGGGATAAGCAGATAATCTGGATTTCATAAGGCAGTGTAGATGGGACCTGTGCGTCGCTTTTCCCTCTCCAGGGGTGCATCTACACACTGTCGGGTTAATGCATTTTGATCCCACTTGAACTGCCATGGCCAATGCTATGGAATCCTGGAAGTTGTAGTTTGGTGGGACACTCCCTGGCAGAGACGGCTAAAGACTACAGCTTTGATGATTCCATAATACTGAGCCATTGCAGTAGAAGTGGTGTCAAATTGAATGAACAGGGATGGATTTCCACACCATCACAAAAAGAAAGTGCATACAGCACCTTTGAGCAAATTTCTTTCTTTCTTACCAGCCTAAAAAATATTTTATTTGTTCATTTCTTGCACTTGAAGTACTCTTCAATGACATCTTTAACCTACGATTCTTTGCCATAGTCTTTCAAAACCACACAACTGCAGCCAACAACTTTGTGGGGTTTTCTTCTCTGTCGATCTTGCAGAGACCTACCTACCCAGTCTCCCAGCTTCCTGTTGTCATCAACCTTTAGAAGGCTGATCAACCTTTAGAAGGCTGTTCAGCACAAAGGGCTTCAGCCAGTATGACAGACATGAGCCTGTTGCAATTTGATGCAAGATGGGCTTGGTGTTTGTCTAAGGTTTTGGCAGCTTCACAAATTCCACAGGCCAATCCATCATGGATGAGTGCATTTTGTGAAGGGTTGACATCCATTTTTTCTTGTTCAAAGCTAAGAGACTACACATTTGAAATGAAACAAAGAGACAATGAAACCAAAGTGGTTTTACCTTTATGGATATCATTTGAATGCTTCTTTCAAAATTCCAGAGATATTGAATGATTAATTGATTGCATCAGAATGGGGCTTTTTTTTTCTTTGTTCAGCTTGCTGGTGAAGCCTTTTCTCTGTTGTGCTGTTCATGCCTGCATAGGAGGGATGTAGGAAACAGCTTATGTTTCCTACATAGTGCCACAGTAAGGCCAGCTAAACCAGGATCTTGTTTTTCCCAGGTCAAGCTTTATTGCATTTTTGAAGCAGTTATTCCTGCAATCTTATAATAGCTGTGTTTTTCAAATCCACACCATGCCTGGTCATGTTGTCCACATTATGCCCAAACTGATCTGGAATTTCATCTGAATTCCAGAGCATTCCACAATTTCCTTCGTGTATTTCTAAACTGGTTTAACTTGGTTTAACATGTGATATAAACAAGAAGTCCCTGGATGCCAAACAAATATGCAGGATCAATTTCCTGGTCAGCAGGTTTTGGAGCTGCTGCAACCAAGGCCTGAGATAGTGATGCCTTTGCTTTCATGCACAAAATTATTAAAAATATTTAGTATAACATTACTTTCAAGATGTGTGAGTAAAATTGTATACAAAACATAAATTTTGTGCTTATGATGCTGAACATGGAATCCCCTGCTTTTAAATTTATTTGATCCAGCTGGTTGCAACAGGGAGTTCCACAGGCTCAAGAACTGATCAAAACATGCAATTGACATCAGCAGAGACATTTGCACCAGCCACAGCTCCAGCAAAAGCTCTTTTCTCTCCTCTAGCTCACTTTGCCTGCAACACTGTATCTCTTCTGAGCCCTGTACTATAAAATCCTGGGTGACAGGAACCCCTTTTTCCCCCACCCTGAATGCTCCCCAAACATCCTTGCACCTCTTATATATGTCTTACCCCTCCCTGGATGCGTTGCCTTGAGTGGTGCCTAGATGGTGCCTGCTGACCCCAAGAACCCCTGTGTGTGTACCTATATCATTCATGATTTATATAACACAGACTGTTTGAGGACCAGGACATCCGTAGGGATACCAAGGGGCTTGTTTATAAAGCTATTGTCCTGCCAACCCTGCTATACACCTGCGAGACGTGGACTGTCTACAGACGTCACATGCAACTCCTAGAACGATTCCATCCAGAAAACCAGTTCTGAGTAAAGGCAGGAAACCTTGAACTCTCTCTAAATGAGTTTCAACAAGGGAATACTTCGACTTTCATCTTTGTTCCTCTTCACTGAATAGGGAGGGGGAATAAATATTTATTTATTTATCGTGTCAGGAGCAACCAGACAGTTGTATTACATTTTTAACAAAACAGACAGACAGACAGACAAAACACAAAGTTTGCAAGCTTGGTAGTTGATTAAATGTCCTTTGAGCAGTATCTGGCCACTTGGAGTGCCTCTGGTGTTGCCGCAAGAAGGTCCTCCATTGTGCATGTGGCAGGGCTCAGGTTGCATTGCAGCAGGTGGTCAGTGATTTGCTCTTCTCCACACTCGCATGTCGTGGATTCCACTTTGTAGCCCCATTTCTGAAGGTTGGCTCTGCATCTGGTGGTGCCAGAGCGCAGTCTGTTCAGCGCCTTCCAAGTCGCCCAGTCTTCTGTGTGCCCAGGGGGGAGTCTCTCATTTGGTATCAGCCATTGGTTGAGGTTCTGGGTTTGAGCCTGCCACTTTTGGACTCTCGCTTGCTGGGGTGTTCCAGCGAGTGTCTCTGTAGCTCTTAGAAAACTATTTCTTGATTTAAGTCATTGACGTGCTGGCTGATAGGGATGAGCTGGAGATGTCACTGCCTTGGTCCTTTCACTATTGGCTGCTACTTCCCGGTAGATGTCAGGTGGTGCAATACCGGCTAAACAGTGTAATTTCTCCAGTGGTGTAGGGCGCAGACACCCCGTGATAATGCGGCATGTCTCATTAAGAGCCACATCCACTGTTTTAGTGTGGTGAGATGTGTTCCACACTGGGCATGCATACTCAGCAGCAGAGTAGCATAGCGCAAGGGCAGATGTCTTCACTGTGTCTGGTTGTGATCCCCGGGTTGTGCCAGTCAGCTTTCTTATGATATTGTTTCTAGCACCCACTTTAATAAATGAATTAATAAGAAGAGTATCCTCAGAAGAAATACACACACTATAGTACTTTTCTACATGTCCATCACCTTTACATAAATAGCACTTTAGGTTCATGCCTGGATCACATGTAGACCACACAGTTTATTTTCTATTTGATTGTTCACACCAGAAGAGCTTCTGTTTCACAGATCCACTTGGTTACAGCACTGCAAGCTTCTGATATTATTTTGTTCCCTTTAAGCATCCCACAGCTGTTTGCCTGAGCATCCCCGGTTACTTGCAACCTACAGAATCAAGGAGAAAGAAGACTTGTCAAGGGCTGACTTCTTTTATCATGACTGAATTTGGCCTTTCAAACAACAGTTATTCCTCCCATAGCTGAATATATCTTGTGCATTTTGAGCTTATATGAACCTTGTTGTAGATATTACTTAGGACTTGTGCTATAGTATGCTTCATCCTGTGTCTGTGTGTCATTGCATGTAGGAAACCTTGGGAGTATCCACCCTAAAGGCTTTCACACCTTGTTCTTCCTTTAATGGCCATGGCCCAGTCCTCTGGAACACTGAGATTTGTACCTATTGAGGTGTTCAGCATTTCCTGCTAGTCCACACAATTGACCTATAGCCATAGAGTTGCTTAGCAGAGAATGCTGAGTAGTACCTCACCAAATTACACATTTCAGAATTCCTTAAGATAGATTCTCTCCAGTTGAAATCCTATCAAAACATAACTATATGGTGTGGATGCACCCTTGGATTCTTTATTAGAACTACACATTGTGAAATTCTTGCATGTACTATTGGTACATTTGGTCAAGTGGGACAAGATACCTCATTGGGATCCTTCTCTAACTAGACTATGCTCTTTTTATTGCTGTTTTCTTCTCCAGAACAAGACAATCAGGAGCAGCAACCTTTCCACTGCATGTATATCTGGTCATACTTTTAAGATTTTAATACAAAACGATACACATGCTTGAGTGAGATAGTAAAATCTTCTCAAGCAGAACTTGACATCCATTGGTGGGAATTAAAGTGCTCTCAAGCTGTTAGCACAGTGCAACATTGCACACTCCTATGACTCAGACCAACCACAGATATGAATCTCCTGTTCCAGGTGACATCTGGTAATATTGTGGTCATCTAGTTACAGTTGGCTCCAGGTCCCATTTGTTCTACTCAGTAAGATTTCATAAACATCTCAAAGAACGTGTTTTCTCAGTCTGGTTTAGCTCAACTAGCTTGTGCATACTTTTTATATATTAGACCTTTCCTATCTCCTACTTGTCATCTTACGAGTGAAGGCCAAGTTTTGAAAATAGTTCTTGTATTTGGTCAATTTCATCCACTGCTGTAAAGACTTGATATAATCCTGGTTTTGGTGTATTTCAATATATTAAATTTAAATACTCTTCCTCTCAAAGTCATGATAGGCTATGAATTTCAAATGATCAGAATTCAAAAGCTTTGATTTGTTTTCATTCTATTTATTACAACTAACATTTTTATGTGAACCACAATCTGTTTGCACATGTTTTGGAAATGATTCCCACTGCCAAGATTGATACGTTTTGTTGTTTTGTTTTGTTTTTAAAGATAGAGTAGTAAACAGTATCAGATCTGACACTAGCCTAGACCTAAAGAATGTGAAAAGTCCTAGAAAAGATTTGGCACAAATTGCATTTACCTTACAGGACGGATGATGAGTTAAAGTAGTTGCAACATTGAAACTAGAGTTCATTTTCTATTAGGCATAAGAGAACACTGGTGGTGAAAAAACATAAATATTCCCCAGTAAGGCTAGCATAAACTGCAGGGGGGAGAGAGAAAATACTCACAGTGTATTATTTAATGGAGATCCTTCTACCCAAGACCATTCCCTTGTAGAGGGATCAGCAATCAGTCCAAGCCACAGCAGTTGTGCCCCATCAGTAATATGCTGTAGGAAGTCCTGGCAATAATACAGGAATACATCTACATAATTTCA